GAGTGGTCAGACAAAATATTGGATGGGAGGTGGAGGCTTCTAGTGGTGGAATAAATTATCTAAAAAGCTCAGAAGTCTTTAGCTAACTCCAGTTTCTCCTCAAATCCCTCCGGCGGGGCGAGCGGGGCGTCGGACTTAGTCCCAAAGGGGAAGGAAAAATAAATGGATAAATGAAGCCTCGACCGGGAGGGCTCAGCGTTAGCTCCTGCCGAGTGCAGCTCGCCCGGAGCCTTCGGCTGGTCGCCCCGTGCCCCTCGGGAGGTGTCGGTGCGCCCGGCTTCCCGCGCGGGGCAGTGGCAGCAGCCGCGAAGTTATCCTCGAAATTAATTAATTGCGTCGAAATTATCTCTCCTCGAAATTATTTCCAACTCCCCGAAGTTAAGATGTCCTCTTAATCCTACTACTTATCTCTGCTAGTTTTTATTATTGCATAATGTGCATAAGTGCTTTTAAGAGGAGAGAGCTATTGATATTTATCTGCCTTAAGCGTCGTGCCTCGCTACCTTTTTAGTGAAACCCGTTGCCATCTGTACACATGCTCTTTGCACCGTGTCCTCCTGTATTTGTTCCTGCTGTACATTAGTGCTTATTTACGTAATAAGTGTATAGGGAAAGGCTGTGTAAATAATGGAGCTAAGCTTATGGTATGTCCTTTTTTTTTTTTAAACAAGTAGACCCTAGATTTTTCCATATATGGTCATCATCCGTGGGCAAGCATGCGCCAGGAGTTGGATGATCTTTTCTTGGTTTATTGAGTGATGACACATTTTGATTCAGGGACTTAAAGCTAAATTGATAATAAATAGACTTAAAATGGCAACTGAAAAGAGGCTATCTAGCATCTTGTTTAGTTTAAATTAAAGTTGCCTAAAACACCTGTGCTTAAACTGGCACAATTATGTGTCAGGAAAGCCCTTAGTCTTTCCACTGCTCTTTGAGGTGGTCATGGAAAGCTGGGAGGCCGACCTGACTGTGGCGGTTTCCGACAGGCTGATGCGGTTATAGGGCTATGGGGAGTCTGTGCTGGGGATCCAAGAATCAGGGTGATCTTAACCTACCTCAACCTAAACTAGTTAATTTGGGTACTCAATGCTTTTGTCACTTTTGCGCCTGCAGGGTAGGCATAAGCCTTAGTTTGGTATGCGGTAGGTCCCATCTTCTGAGCAAATAGGATTTTTGGTTTTTAGAAGTACAGTGCGTCTGTCTCCTTGATACCAAGGATGCTTTTCCTGTGGGCAGATTAGCAAGTCAATTGCATTCTCTGGATGTGAGTCAGGGTGAAACCATGCTTGGAAAGGAACTCTTCTCAATTGTTATGGAAAAGGGAAAGAACAGAGGAGCAAGGAAAGGACACCAAAAATGCACATACCTAACAAAGGATTGGCTCCTCTGAGCGAGTGCTAGCTGCCAAGAGAAACTGGATCCTGGAGGCGGTTGTCTCCCAATGTACATGATGTATGAGCTAATAAAATCTGCCCAGTATCTGCAGTCAGAAGTTTTGAGGGTGGAAATGGAGCATTTTCTACCTAAAATCAGCATTAAAGCAAACTTGATATCTTAAATCAAAAGTGCCCATTCAGCTTGACTACATGTAATTTGAAAACAAAAACCTTTGTTCTGTCACTCTTGGCAAGACTAGGTGGCAACTGATGTGTGCGCTAACCCTTGTTATTTAATGGAGCTCTTGTTCTTTCATGTCACCCTGACACTGTGGTTTTCTTGGTGACCATGTTTGTTTGCTTTTTCAACCCAGCCTGTGAACATCTCTTTGAAAGCACTGCTTCACATGTGCTCAAAAAACTTTAATAAGAGCAACGCTGGCAATTTGTTGTGCCGGTTTGCCATGAAAGGTTCAGTGTTTGGAACTGGGAATATGAATAGTATGACTGGAATTTGATAAAACTATGACTGGTTATTGATGGACAGCTGCTTGACATAGCACAGTACACTCTATTTTACTGCTGTACTCTGAGAACAGATATCAGTTTACAATAAAGGCTATGCTTTCAAGTAACTCTGGATTTTTTCACAGCAAAACTATAAGCATAAGGAAGGATACATTGCTTAGGTATTAATCTTTTACATCTGACATTTATATAAGCAATGATATTCCAGATTTTTTTGGCTTTTACTATTTACAGCCTGACTGAAAAACTCAACATTCCTGAGATACACAAATAAATTTGTAATCTTTAGGGCTTCTAGCTGGCATGTTGTTTGAGGCTTGTATAATTCTGCCCTAATGAAGCACACGTCATATAGGCGAAAAAGGCTCTTTGTAATTCAAGTTTTGCACAGTTGACTACTTTGATATAAACTTCACTTAGTCTACTACAAAGTTTTGTCTGTGTAGCTGTATTGGCAATACCTTGGTTTTCCAGTGAAGCTTGCCTCTGCCTGGAGCTTAGCAGGCCCTTGTTAAATAGAGCTAGGGTGACTTAATTGAAAATGCTTAGCTCTAGAGAATGCTGACCTATGCCGTATTTTATACCTCTTTAGAAGATCACGCAGTCTATAGACAGAGCTCTAGTACTACACATTATACTGAGTAATAACTCAGAAGCAACACCTATCTAAAGTTATAGGGTTTTCTATAAGCTATTTGGAAAATGTGCATACTTTTGGATATTTTACGTATTTCATTTGTGGGGATTCTTCTCTTGCACTTTAAGAGTTAAGCATTTTTCATTCTGAGTAACAAAGGAACCATGTTCTAGTACTTTTCATGCTTTGTACAGAAATCTGTTTGTTCAGGAAGACTCTGTGTTCCTGGGCTTTATGGCTAAAAATATCCACACATCTTGACAGAAACTGAGATAAAATACTTTTCCCATAGACAGTCAAGCTCTGAGTTGCTTCAGTTTGGTGGTTATATGATTTATAGAACAGAGCCACTTCACGGAGGGTATCTTTCTGTGCTGTTAAACTTGTTCTAACAAGAGCACTGTTGGGCAGGGAAGATATCATGGGGGGTTTCTGGAGTGAGTCATGCAAAGGCTCTTTACAGGACAGAACATTTGGGAGCTGCTGGCTGCCAGACCTGCCCTCGTAGGCTCCTGTGGTGTTCAGAGAGACAAAGCAAAACTAAGTGAGAGCTTTCTGGTATCCAGAACAATCATAGCTGCCAGTAAAATAGCTTGAAACGAAACTGCAGAGATTACCCAACCATCTCATCTGAACTGAAAGAGATCACAGATGATAAGCCCCGTTGCATCTTCATGCACAAAGTTAGTTTGTTCACATTTAAATTCCACTACAATATAACATTCATCTTTCCTTAAAGGTCAGTTGTTTATAAGCCTTCTGCATTGCATTCTGACAGTGTCGATTCAAGCTAGTCTGATTTAAGTCTTTACTGCATAGCTGGTTTTGAGGCCTAGTCTGAACTGAGGACACTTCTAGCTGTACTTGTATTGTGAGCCTGCTGCAAAACTTTGAGTTCCAGGAGGACTTGGATAATCTGAGTCTGATAATGGTGCCCCAGGGTACTTGGAACAATTTTTGCTTTAACTGTCCTTGTGGAAAGAGCACCTGACAGCTATGGTCAATGTGGTATTCTTATATCAGTTATTTGAGGCAGAAAAGCATTTTGGTTGCTGATGTAATCCTTAGCTAGAGATAGAGTTGTCTTTTGGTTTGTAAACTAAAATGAGGGGAGGAAAAATGTCTTTATTTCTTTGGAGTAAATTATACTGTCTGTTTGCGGGGGGCTGAAAGGTCTCTCCTTCAATAACTTTTCTTAATTATTTTTTATAGAGAGAAACGTAACCGGCAGATCAAAAGGAAGAAGTTTCATTGGCCACATAGTTACAAATACAAGTAATGCCTCTGAAAAGGCATACGAAGTGGATGACTTTGTAGCAAAAGTCCTTACAGGAAAGCTGACTACAGTGTTTCTTCCTATAGTCTATATCATTGTCTTTGTCATCGGATTGCCAAGCAATGCCATGGCACTCTGGGTCTTTTTCTTCAGAACAAAGAAGAAACATCCTGCTGTGATCTATATGGCTAATCTGGCCTTGGCAGACCTTCTTTTTGTTGTCTGGTTCCCACTGAAGATTGCATACCATGTAAATGGCAATAATTGGCTATATGGAGAAGGTCTTTGCAAAGTCCTTGTTGCATTTTTCTACGGAAATATGTACTGCTCCATCCTTTTTATGACATGTCTCAGTGTGCAACGATATTGGGTTGTGGTAAACCCCATAGTACATTCAAGAAAGAAATCCGAAATTGCATTGGGCATCTCCCTTGCTATCTGGATCCTGATTTCACTGAGCACCATTCCATTGTATCTTGTTAATCAGACTACTTATATTCCACAGCTGAACATCACCACCTGCCATGATGTATTACCTGAAAATGTTTTGGCTCGCGACCTGTTCAATTACTTCCTCTCACTCGCAATTGGACTCTTCTTATTGCCAGCTCTCATCACTGCTGTTGCTTACATATTAATGATAAAGACTCTGAATGCTTCCATTTCAGACATACACACAGGAAAGAAACGAAAACGAGCAATCAAGCTTATTATTACTGTCCTGTCCATGTATCTCATCTGTTTTACGCCTAGCAATGTGCTGCTTGTTGTACACTACTTACTCCTGAAAACCAATGGTCAGAGTTATTTGTATCTGTCATACATAACTGCTCTGTGCCTCTCTACACTGAACAGCTGTATCGATCCATTTGTCTATTACTATATTTCAAAAGACTTCAGAGATAACTTTAAAAATGCTCTTCTTTGCCGAAGTGTGCGGACAACACGGAGAATGCAAGTGTCTCTCTCATCGGGTAGATACCCCAAGAAATCCAATTCTTATTCCTCAAACTCAAACGGAACAACCAAATCAACCTACTGAGTTCGGAGAGAAGTGAACCTTTATTAGTACTTCTTAGAGGATGTAAGTGACAAAGTTACTTTGTGCAAGAGTCTGAAGAAACAGCTTTGCTTCTAGATTCCCGAAGAAGTCTTAATTTCAGAACTGGTAACTGCTTATCCTGTAAGCAGGCGGATCTTCCTGCTAGACTGAAAAGAAACCATGACATTTCTGATGCTGTACAAAAGTGCTGCTGGCCTTAAAAAGAACTGTGTTTGAAGACATCTTTCTTCAATATTGAAGTTGTTCAGATCTCTGTAACATGTCTGGAATATAGCATACTTTTAACAGAGAAATTCTGTTTTGTTTGACTTTAGTTGTAGCATATCAAGCAGCTGAGCAGATTGTTCATATAGGATCTTGCCCTGTGTACCTGTTTCTACTGAAGATTGTTTGAAACCATAGATGCTCCTTTCCTTCTCCATTGTAGGTCCATCAATGTGAACATTTATTAGCCATAGTGTAATCTAATTTTTTCATGTTGTAGTGCTAACATAGTAGAAGCCTGGCTAGGTTATCCTATTAAACTGGCAAGCTGAGCTTGTTTTCTGCTAGCACTGAGGTAAATGAAATGTATGAGTTGAGATTATACACGTTACCAGCTGTTACTAGATGACTGCTGACACATGATCTTAAATGGAGTTATTTAACAAAGTTGTGATTGATTTTTGTATAATGTCTTTTATTTTTTAAGATATATAAATAAGACTTTTTATAACACACTTGAGTGACGTGTTTTGTCCTCTTAAGTACTCTTCAGTATGCCAAGTTGACCAGTTTACCTGGTTTCGGGGAACAAAGGTATTACTCCTAAGAGTGAATTAGAGTTCTGTTTGAACTGTAGCTGTAGCATGTAAATGTCTTAAGAAAAATCATCTAATGCTGCACTTCGTTAGAGGAAAACTTTCCTAAAAAGGGGTGACTCTGGGGAACAGATAGTTAAATCAAGCAATTCAGAACTATGGAGAAGTAACAAGATACCAAAGTTCTGTTGCATTGAATTTCTGAAGTATCTTAAATCCTCTTGTCTTATCCACAGTATATGTGACCACTGAGGATCATGGAGTCACATTTTTTTTAATCTGAAAAAGCCGGTGTGTGTTGTTTTGGTGGTACTTTTAAATCGGTTCTTTCAAATTTTGCTGTCCTGGTAAGTTTCACCAAGTTATAAATTGCACTAGTATCAAAGTGACCTATCTGAGCCTCAGTTATAACTGGATCCTTTTAAACACAGACAAACAGAAAAGTCTTTGGTCCAGTGAGGAGTGTGAGACAACTGGTGCGTAGATGGGAAACATTCACCACCTCAACTATGGAGGGTAAGAAAGGGGAGCGTCCCTTATGCTGTTTGGCAATAAATAGACTATGGAAATATCTTCCCTTGCAGAAGAGCCAAGTCCACCCGCTTCCCACTGTAAACTTGAATAATAAGTGGTGCCAAGGAAGGGCGTCCTGCCAGATGAAGGAAGGCTGCTAGTGCCCTGCTACGAGTCCAAGGGTCGCAGGCCGCGTGAGCCAAGGGTTGCGCACTGCGCGTGTGTGTTTATGTGATACCACTGTGATTTGTGTTAAATTGCTGAAAAATATGCTCAAAGAGGCCATTCAGTCCTATGGAGGACTTGTGTATGTGAAACTAGAATCTATCATCTCATATAGCTGTTTATTCTTCCTTTACTAAATCTAAAATGTTTCCTTCTGTAACATCCTGGTACCAATAGCATGGCTTTCTAAGAGTATTCTAAAACTTAACTTGCTTTGTACCGCTTGCTTTCCTTTAGCATGCAATGTTTTGAAAACATCTAACACAGTTTAGTGGTTTCAGTTCCAAATTCTACTCTTAACTATTGTAATTTTTTTTTCTTATGTTTTGTTATTATGTAATTCAAAGTGTTTCAAGTAAGGCAAGTATTTCTATGCTTTCTTTGTTCCTCCTTTCCTGTCATTGATGGAAATGGGGACTAGGGACTGGCTAGCAGTTGCATCACTCTGCTGCAGTTTATGGGGAAAGGATTGTTGGTCTCCTTTGGCACTTTTCCTTTCCAGCCTTCTTTACTTGTTGATTGAAAACGTAAGTTGCAAATAAGAATCTTTCATCTCTTACATGCAGTAACAGTGGCAGTGCCACTGCCAGTGACATGCATAACAGATGGTCCTGCAATGTAATTAAAGCTTTCCTCATACAGCTTTTAACTAATCAAAAAGTTTATTTTAAAAAAGGAACACTTCGGAGAGTAACCACTGTTCAAGGAGACCACAACCATCTAGGTGAAGCTTATTCCTTCATACTGCTCTCACCAGGAGCTAAAAAGTGTTTTTACTTGTTTCTTTTTTTTTTTTTTTACCATGAACAACTACTGTCATTTCTGCTTTTCCCTTCCTGTTTTAGTGATATCATGTGGATTTGGCTCTTATTTGAGGGCAGGAGGGAAAATGGAGAGTCTCTGTTTTCTACTGCACGTAAGAGAACAACTTTTCCTGCAACCAACTCTTGAGCAGTTCATAGGAGAAGATCAGGTACGAAGAATTTGGTCAGGCATCCAACTACTTTTGCACACTGATCTGTGTCCTCTAAACGCTGCCTTAAGTTTGTCTTACTTTGCTGCCACTCAAGCACGAAGAAGAGTAAACTAATCTCACTATAAAGAAGGGGAACCCTTATAAGGGTTGTTTGGTTGTTTTACCTCTCTGAAACAGAGACAAGCTGTGATTGGGTTAAATGCCTTACAAATCCACATGCTGAATTTAGTATGAAGGGTTAATTCTGTCCTCATTAATGGAGCAGGTAAGCTGGGCTTTTGTCTGTGGTACAGAATGTAATAAATAGGTTGCCAAGGTCAATGAAACGTGCTGTTGTCATCAAAGTGTGTCCTAAGGTGTCATGCCACGAGAGTGTTTCTTTTCCCACCCTTTTTTGAGCACTGGATCTTATTCAGCTCAGGGATAAAGCAGGTTAGGGAGCTGATTCAACTGAAAGCTATCACTATAGAAACCAATTAATTAAAAGTAAAGAAATCTGAATCAACTCCTTGAATTAGCAGTTGGGCATCTGTGCAGTGATGGGGTAAGAATATGCAAGGCCATAGTTCCATGGATCCCTGTTTTTAAAATTTTAGATTATGGCACTGGTACCTAGTATGCAAGTGTCCCAGGCCCAACAGTTTTGGCATTCGTAGTGTTTAACTTAATGATATAACGACTGAAGCTGTGTAGCATGTGTCCAGAGGTGTAGCTCTCCTGGGAGTTGGGTAGTGTGGTGCCCACCTGCTGTTAGGGGGCTTGGGGCCTCATGTTTCATTGAGGAAGTACTTAGCCCACTATGTGCGCTTTGAGCATAGTTAGTATACAGTAACAACTTTAAGTTCAGTGCAAGCACAGTAGCTGTGGTCATTTTGACTCAAAAACATCCAGAAGAGAATATGGCTCCCATGTTTTGTCTAGTGAATGGTAACCTTCTGTAGGCTGGGAGATAAACATTCTCCAGGCACTGTTTGCTGGCAAGACTGGTACAACAAGCTCACTCCGCAGTCAGTTCTCTTATCTAGGCCAAAGGAGGTGGAGATGCTTTGAATAATGGAAAAATAACTAGTGATTGCGAAGGATGTATTGAGTGCAGCCCAAAGATGCTGGGCTGACTAGCTTGTATGGCTGATGCAGTGCCAGCCTGCATGTCCCTTCACAGTCATTTAAGTGTCCCTGCCCCAGCCTCCCTAGCTGACTGCTTCTTGGGTGGGCAACAGGAGCGGGAAGGCCCATCTGGTGCTTGTCAGTGTTGTGCTGGCAGGGAAGTAGCTTGGGTGCTTAAATCACCTGGAGTTGTTAGTGCTGGGAGGAGTGGTGCAGAGACACCAGAACAATAAAGAGTGGGAGGAGAAGAGCCTATATGTGACCTACCTGCAATTGGGAGGTAAGAGAAATCAAACAGCAGGGAAACTAAGCTGTGTCGGTTGGTCACTTAAATGCAAGGCAGCCCCAATGAGATGTTTCTTAAAGCAGACTTTGTGGAAACAGTGGACGCAGAGGAATGCAGTCGCTCATTTATGCCACATCGGAAAAGCTACATGTGTAAAAATCCTTAAGGTTGGCTGGATCTTAACTGTCAAACCTTGCATGCATCATGTGGCAAGTGCTCTGAATGAGAATGAAGCTTGAGCTTCATCCACCACATGAATGGATGTCTGTCTATTGCAATTAACAGGTACATTTCTTTCAGTGATGGCCCTTTTACCTTGTGCTTCAGCTTCAAAAAGTAAACTGTTGGGAACTAAGTGTTCAGCACATTCAGTTTGGATGTAGTGCATTATATTTTGTATTTTCCCTCCCCATTACAGTACTTGTCAGTACTGTACTCAGAGCCTGGGTGTACCTGGGAAAGAAATTATGTGTGGATGTGTTTCTGCCATGGGGCATGTCATCACCTTCACATATTCTCTGTGTTGTGTCTGTATTCAGGGCTGTGCGTGTTTCTGGTACTATGTTGTAGCAGAAGGGTGTTTTCCTTTTGAATGCCTGCGTTGGGAATTGCACTGCCACATGATCCACTGCAGGATGTAGGGAAGCAGAGCCTGTTTGCACTGGGCGAAAGATTTATCTGCTGAATAAAGGAAAATGAGAGAAATAAAGGGCGTATAGGACATAAATATAGAATAAAAAAGGATGCAACAATTGAGGGAGTTTTCTGAAGAAGTCCCGAAGTGTGTCTTATGTCGTGCATTCCCAAAAGGCAGGCGGGATGTGGCGAAGGCACAAGAGGAATGGATGAGTCAGTCGGCAGTGTCGCGTGGGAAGGGAACACCACGCTCCAGTGTTCTCTGGAGTTCGGCAGGCAGTGACTCAAGGCCAGTGTTTGCTTGAAGTTCGATGTGCCATGACCGCTCGGCATTTGATCCTCAAATCCCAATGAGGCAAGCCTGTTTGTTTTTGCTGTGAGCAGATGCCCTGAGCTACATGGGTCACATTCATTTTTGCTAACGTCTGCCCGCTCCTTTCTGAAGCAGATAAGGCCAGAGGTGGCTGTATTGTGGTGATGCTATTTGTGAGATGGGTGGAGGGTGCTATTGCTGTGTACAGTGTTTTGATGGTAAAATACAACCATAAGATAAAACTATGGAACTGCTCTGTTG